CACGCAACAAAATGAAAATAAATGTATATCTCAGTTACGAAAACCACAATTTTGCGTTTGGCTCTTTTCTCGGTCGAGACCGTAATCCACTCTTTTATGCATGAGAGAATTTTGCTCGTCGAATACGACGACAACGACGAAAACGGCAACAACTCGACTCGCACATCTATCTCAAATCTTGTATCGTGTGCGCCCCAAAATATAATCATGTTTACAAACACATGTTCACCACCTCTTCGTTTAACTAGTAGCCATTTTAAATGTGACGTCATCGTTAATTCATGATCATGGAACGAGGCGCGCACGAGATATAGAGAAAACGCTTGTCGTCGATGACAAGCCGAAGAGTGCGCGCCGCGATAAACATCGATGGATGTGTGGATGCTTCGGTGTGCCGTTGCAACCGATAAAATGCTTCTACAATTTCATGTAACACCGCTAATTTGGCCGAAGCACAATCGTATGCGCTTAGGCTAGTCGAGTGCTGGGTTATCGCGATACAACACACAAACAAATCCGACGACGGCAGCAACGACGGCCACGCTTGTTGTGTATTTTTTTCCTCATCCATTCGCAATTCATCATATTTTAGTAGTTTGTGTTACGCGCACCGAGACACAGAGATACTAAAATATGTTATGATACTTGCGGAAGACACAACATACAATGCGTAAACGTATGCGTTTCCGACCGACTAATCGAATCCGGTCCGTTGTTCAGCGGAGTGCGAATGTATGTTAACAGAGCTCTCTGTTTACAAACTGTATCGGTGAGCCAGACCCACGTGGTCGATATCAATGTCTGCGTCAACACACAAACACATACCAATCCAGTATGTATATAGAGTGAATTGAAGTGAAACACAACTGCGCACACCATACACACGCTCAACGCTCACATCGTCAGTTCGCTCGTTCGCTCGCTCGCTCGTTCGTTCGCATACAAACCAATGTGGATGTAAACAAATGAATGCGCCTTGCAATTTTTTTTTTTTCAAGTACACACATCCACAGGCGCGCGCGTAACGCAACGTCAACGTAATATGAACCGAAGTAGAAACATACTCACATGAAAGCAAAATATACACAACAAAAAGGCCTTGAATACATACTTGCAACCGTCTCTTCGTTTCGCACAGTTCAAACTGGTGAATACGACACGCATTTAGTATCGATGTTATTTACTGATAAACTGTGTTTTTTTTTCTACGCTGGAATCTTGTAATTTTTTGACGCTAATTGAAATTAATTAAAATGATTAATTGAATTAATGTTTTAACAATGCATTTGTTTCTCTATTGAAATGCCATTGGAGCAAACGACTGTGGCGCATAAATAATCGCAATCATTTCATAAATCAACGAATTGACACGAAAATATTCGCATATCATATGATTGGGGTGTTTAGATTGTAAATACCGTGTGACGTTGTACATTCATCATTCGGATTGGATTGCATGGCAACTGAACACAACTCATGATTTGCTCAAGCAACATGACAAGCAACTTGAAACATGTAACAAAACACGTATTTTGTTACCAACCGATTTATCAATGTGTCTGTGGCTTGCAACGCATCGCACGTAAGACACACAAGTGAAAAAACATGAAAAATTCGGCAACATGTTAGTTGAAAATAGAGAGGAAAATAAACGATTCGATTAAAACAGTCGTGCACCGTCGACCGAATCGAATCTTACGTCCAACATGCAGCCGATGTGTAGTGTTTCGTGTGATGGCTACGGCAAGATCGAGAGAATGAGCACGAATAAAAGAGGAGAAGAATGTAGTTGACAGAAGAAGAGCGAAAATAAGCGGAGCGTTCAGTAAGAACAGCCGGTGTTCGAAAAGTGAATTAAAAGGCTGTATACATGAACACAGTCAGCAACGCTTGTACACGCACGCAACCACACGAATGGGAAAAAAAGCAACGACGTCGAAATGCCATATTCTCTCGAATGTATATCCAAATTTTGAGTCGTATGTATGGATGTGTGTACGTGTGTGTGTGTGTTCTAGTGCAAAACGCATACATTGTTCACGAAGCGCCTCACATTTCGATCGGATTATGAAAATGGTCGACAGTTGATGGTGTCGTATTTGTGTAAAGTGCTGACAATTCATAAAATTTGCCTTCAGTTCAAGAGATCTCTGTGTGTTTTTTTTTTCTCCGCTCGGAGTCGCTCACCGAGAGAGCGAGTGAACCGTCACACACTCTCGCTCTCTTTGTTCCATCCGTCTCGTTTACTCTCCCTTCAATGTGTCGGATCGGATCTTTTGTTGCTGCTGCTCTCTGTTGCTCTGTTTTACTCTCTGTGGTTGTTTGTTTTAAATGTAAAATCGTTTCATACGGTTCGGTTTGATGTGTGAGAGAACAAGAGAGTGCTGTAAATCGTCGAAAATTTCTTTAGACGTTCTCATTTAGAAAAGACACAAGGCTCTCTTTCGCGAGCGCATTTTCGTTTGTGTCTATACTCTCGCAACTCTCCGTCTCTCTGTTATAATATTAAAAAAAAACTTTAGTGTTCAATGAGCGACCGCTGACTTCGAATAAGTAGCTAAACAAACGACACAAAATATTAATTTATAAGTCAGTTAACATTATTTTTTCTCTCTCTGTGTTAATACAAAGCACCTCTATTGTGAATCTGTTTTTATTATACATGTATATACATGTATATATTATTTCGCCGTCGTCGTCGTCGTCGTCGATACACATAAGAGGAGAGAAAAGAGAGTGTACGAGTTCAGAGTGTGCTTTGAATAAAAAAAATTTAGTGTGTATCTTTTAATTCGGTGTCGCCTTATGTACAGTGTTTGTCATTAAATCGCCTTTTTCAATAAGTGAGACATTTTATTTTTGCCATTTTTTTTGTCGTTGGTTCGTTTGAAAACTTTTTCATTTCCTTCGGTCATATTGGTTTGTGTGACGTTTATTTCGTAGTTAATAAATTTCGTTTAGTGATTGTCGTATCAATTTCAGTCAAGAGAAACAAAAATTTTTCCTTTTGTTCTGTAAATATCTGACTAATTAAACTAAAAGCAAGTGATGGCTGATGTTCGGTGACGTCAAGAAAAAATAAATCGACGAATAATGTTTTTATCATTATACAAATAGACCGAAACAAAAAATTTATAGCGAATATCATAATTGACTTGCACTAGAGACACACAAGAAACGAAGAAGCAAAAAAAAAAAAAACGAAAGAAAAATGGAGAGTATGCGAACTGGTGACTCGTCTAGATGATTATTGCGTACACGCAAACGGCAAATATATACGAGCACGGAGAGTGAGAGATGATAGAAAAAAGTATGAACAATGTCGTAAATATGTACGTAATATTGCCCGTTGCCTTAGAATAAACACAGTCAGAATTACGTTATATTTCACGAACGAACGAATGAACAAAAAAAAAATTTGTGTTTTATCATCGGCCGTAGTTGTTTTTTTTTCTCTCGATCGATCGATTCATTGATGTTGGTGTTGATAACACAATGTGTAGGTTCTCTGATCGAAAATCACATCGGTAAACATGTCAAGATTGGTTTTTTTGTGTGTCATCTTCTTGAATGAGTGAGTGCAGTGGACATAGGTCGTGAACAAAAAACCAATATTTACATTTTTCAGGTGCCCCATTTATTCACCATCGTCCCATCATCAACGTTGTCACTGCTGGCACCGCAGACAATTGGTTACAATTTAATTCATATTTCATCGTTCGCATTCGAAGCAAAAAAAAAAAACTAAACCAGCTAAAATAGGCGAGAAGAAAAGAAAAAAAAGCAGTAGAAAATAGAGAGAAAGATGTGTGTCTTGAAAATAGTGTGTATATTTAAATGCCATACATTCCGAAATCCATTTAATAGCGCTGCTTGTGAACGGTTGGTCGGTGCGATGGTACCGCATTTGATTTGCTCTCATATGGTTTGATCACTTGAGTGTGTCTGTGCGTTAGTGGCCGTCGTTTTTTCATTATTGTTGTTGTTGTTGTTGCCGTTGCCATTGCCATTGCTGTTGCTGCTGTCGATTCGCCTTCTCAATATAATTTTGTTTTTTTTTTTGCTTCTCTTCTATATATGATTTGTTTCAATAAAATATTTCTTCGGCTCCGTTCAGCGCGCCCGAGAGAAGAAGAAAAAAAAAACTAATATATGGATTACGATTTCATTCGCCATTTTGTTTGTGTGTATTTGCGTACGTTGTGTGTTTTATTTTCGTTGTTGCTGCTGTTATTTTTTTTTTCGTTAACTATACTCCTTAACTAATATCACACACAACATATTAATGTGTAAGAATAACTTATAAAGCAGTTCGTATTGTATAGTAGACGAAAGATTTAAAATGGAGTGCACGACTGTCGACGGTGTACAATGGGGTACCCTACATACACTCAGATACAACACACACTTCCACTGCACATACAGCAAATGTGCATTGTAAAGTGAGCGAACAGCAGCACGAATGAAACGAAAAAAACAAAATTAAACGGCAAATATAATGAAAAGAAGAAAAAAAAAAAACGACAGCGCAACACAACACAAAGCGAAAAAAGAGGTTGTTCGCGGAGTAGAAAGTGCCGTCAGAGTCGTCCATGTTGAATGAATGAGCAAAATCGAATGAGAAAAAAAAACAACACAACAAACAGCCAAGAAACGAACGAAGGCTGCTCAAATGTGTCGTTGCATCTTGTGCATTCATTGAAATCGAGATTTTTCACATTTCTTGCGCGTATGTTTGCCGTCTGGCTGTCATTTTAATGCCGGTTCGGATTTATTTAGTCACAAATGAAATCTCTATTCGAATCGAGTGTGGCATTTCACCAAATTTGAGACGACCAATTCGTATGAATCATGACGATGGTTGTCATTTCAATTTGTTATAAATCAGACGATACACGGTTCGATTACATTTATAAGGCTCAATAGTTAGATAAAAACGTAGTGCTTCGAATTGACTCTCTTATCTAAATAACCGTTTTTTTTTTCTTGGCTCTTTCCAGATGTCTGCCGGTACACAGTTGCAGATGGCACCGCAAACAACAGTAGTTCAAGGCGGTCAACAGACAACAGTTCATAACCAGGACTCAAATATGAGCACTGGATCCTCTCACAGTGATAAAGAGGTTGAGTCTGCTGGTACGCCTGATAAAATTTCACGGTCAACATCGGAACGAAAACGTAAACGAAAAGCATTAGATGATAATAGCGGTGGTGAACGGGGCGGAAGCGACCGAAGTTGCAGCAATAATGGCGGCACCGGCGTGAATGCCGGCTTAGGAACAAATAATACAATTCAACAGCATCTACATAATAGCAAAGGGGCGAGAGTGGTGTTGCCGCCATTGCCCGAAAATAAGAAAATCAATGACTATTTTAAGCACACAGGTACTAGCCCGATTCGGCAACAAGGCACGGGTACGGGCGGTGCAAAGAGTCCAAGTTCACAGCATGGTTTTCCGATGTATGCACCAACCACACTGGTCACCCAGATGAATGTGATCGGGCCGGTGGGTTCACAGGATTTCTTCAAAAATCGCAACACTTCCAATATCATTTCATCAGCGCAAACGATGCAACAGCAACTGAGCCAATGCCAACTGCCACCACCGCAACCACAGCAAGCAAAAGTGTCAACGTCCACCCAAACCGAGCTGTCATATCTGGAGATTGAGGAGCGTGACTGTGACTTTGAATTAAGTAAATCCAAAGTGGACGAATTGTCACGATTGTCCGACGAACAAAAGTTACAGATCAATACGCACCAGAAAACAATCGATCAGCATAAGAATCACATTAACAAGTGCATAGATGTAGTTAAAAAGTTGCTCATGGAAAAGAGTAACATTGAAAAGAAGGAGGCGCGACAAAAGTGCATGCAAAATAGATTAAGACTAGGACAATTTGTAACGCAGCGTGTTGGCGCAACGTTCCAAGAGAATTGGACTGATGGCTATGCGTTCCAAGAGTTGGCGCGACGGCAAGAGGAAATTGCAGCCGAACGCGAAGAAATCGATCGCCAAAAGAAAATCCTACTGAAAAAACGACCAACGAATCAAGAAACCGGTCGCAAACGTAACAATTCCACGACCACGCAACAACAACAGCAGCAATCAAATAATCAATCGTCAAATCAATCGGGCTCCGTTGCGACGAACAATTTGCATAACGGCAGCGATGCCACATTCTTGAAACCCGACCCAGTATCCGGTAGCTACACAATGCAAGAATACTATGAGTGTGATGAAATTTTGAAGCTGAGACAGAATACGCTTAAAAAAGAAGATGCCGATTTACAATTAGAAACCGAGAAATTAGAAAGAGAACGTAATTTACACATTAGAGAATTAAAACGGATACACAATGAGGATCAAGTGAGTGTTTGTAGACCGTTCACAGCATCGTTCTTCTATCATTCTCCATCGCAACATAAATATTCAATGCTAAATTTTTCTTCTTCTCTTTTTCACCTTTTGCAGTCTCGATTCAACAATCATCCGGTATTGAACGATCGGTATTTGCTGCTGATGCTCCTGGGTAAAGGTGGATTTTCCGAAGTACACAAAGCATTTGACCTAAAGGAACAGCGGTACGTGGCGTGCAAGGTGCATCAACTCAACAAAGATTGGAAAGAAGATAAAAAGGCGAACTACATTAAGTGAGTGCAATCGCAAAGTACACACCAATTGTGTCTTTAAATTTTGAATCTGATCACTAATCCAATCGTCCCAATTTACCTTTTTTTTTCGTTTCACCATAGGCACGCATTGAGAGAATACAACATACACAAAGCGTTGGATCATCCACGAGTGGTCAAACTGTACGATGTATTTGAAATAGACGCAAACTCATTTTGCACAGTTCTAGAATATTGTGATGGGCACGATTTAGACTTCTATTTGAAGCAGCACAAAATGATACCAGAACGTGAGGCTAGATCGATAATAATGCAGGTTGTTTCAGCGCTTAAGTACCTGAACGAAATCAAACCACCAGTTATTCACTACGATCTAAAGCCGGGCAACATTTTACTCACCGAGGGCAATGTCTGCGGTGAAATCAAAATCACCGATTTCGGTTTATCCAAAGTGATGGACGAAGAGAACTACAACCCGGATCATGGTATGGATTTAACATCACAAGGCGCTGGAACGTACTGGTAAGCAATTGCCCTTCACTTTTGCCTTTGTTAACTGAATATTGGATTCAAAATCACTAGTCCACAATTGTGTGCTAATCATAACCATTTGCTTCTCTTTCCAACATGCAGGTACCTACCACCGGAATGTTTTGTCGTTGGTAAAAATCCACCAAAAATTTCCTCAAAAGTTGATGTTTGGAGCGTAGGCGTAATATTCTATCAATGTTTGTATGGAAAAAAGCCATTCGGTCATAATCAATCTCAAGCAACAATTCTAGAAGAAAACACAATATTGAAAGCGACCGAGGTGCAGTTTTCAAACAAACCCACAGTATCGAATGAAGCAAAGGTAAATTAAAACTAACTGAATTTGATTTATCAAACGATCGTTTCCATCTTCGAGACTAATCAATAACTTTTCCGATGTCAATTTGCAGAGTTTTATTCGAGGCTGTTTGGCGTATCGTAAAGAAGATCGAATGGATGTATTTGGATTGTCACGGCATGAATATTTGCAACCTCCGGTGCCGAAGCATGGACGACAGCAGCAATCGACTGGCAGTGGTGGCAGTGGTGGCAGCGGTTCAAATCCAAATAGTGGCAATAATCAACAAAGTGGTAAGTTTTGAAAAGCGATTCAATTTAAATCGTTCGAAAGACGGCAATGTCCTAAATTTCTTTGTTTTGCTTACGGTACAATTGCAGGTAGCTCACAGCAAAATCAGCCCGCATCATTTTCGGCCGGACTCTTTGGTAATATGAATCAATCGAGTTCATCTTAGCTGTTCATCTAGCATTCAAATTCATAGACTTAACAAGATACTAAAAGCAAAGAAGATGCAAACGAAACGCGGATGCACGAAAAGAAGTCGAATGACAAAAAAAACGTGGACACGAAGAATGAAATAAGAGAATGCAAAAGAAATGAAGAGGAGAACACATGAAAACAAATTTCCGATTTTAGTGACATAAAAATAAATAATTTAAATAATTAAAAATTAAAATTAAATAATCATATTTAAAACATAAACACTTCATGAGAAGAAAAAAAGCAAGCGGAGAAAGAAAGAACAACAACAACAACACCGATAAATGCGAAGGCATGAAAAAGAGAAGCAACATGATCGATGAGAAAAACAAATATTTTAAATTTATTATACTTATTATGATAAAAAAAGAAGAAGCAAAAGATGATGAGAAGGGTTGAAATCAAACCAAGTCGAGATAAACAAACAAAATAGAGCAGAAAGTGTGCGATGAATGGAAAATGGTGGTTGAAAATGTATTAAAACCAAACAACAACATTTTTGTTAGGCGCATCAATAATATATCATGTGAAAACAGAAAGAAACGACAGAATGAAGCATAACAAAAGAAAAATAGAAAAAACACCACTCTCGGTCGAATGATAAAAACCAAAACAGTACATTCATTAACGAAAGACGTACATATTTATAAATTGTACGACATGTTATTCGTAATCATAGCTACAATGATGTTTTTTTTTTTAATAAAAGAATGACCCGGAAGAGAAAGAAGAAAAAACACACACATACAAAAGTGAGACAACTGTAATTTATACAATAATCTGAAATCTTTGTTATAAAAAGTGGAAAAAACGAATCGAAAAAAAAAGATTAACAAAAAATAAAGCAAGTAATAAATTATATGTATATTCATATCAAACATTATTCATTTGTTTGCGTTCAATTTTAAGACTCTTTTATTACAATGCGTGTGCAATGTCTGTCCAGCGATGTTGCGCCCCATGGCCTATGGTTCGAAGACCGACAACGTCATTGGACCGAATGCCACGCACAACTATTTATTTCTAATTTTTATTTCCTTTTTTATTGATCGAAATGATCGTTGGTTTTTGTTTTTCTTTCTTCTCCATTTTGAAAGATCGATGATTGTGCTGTTTTTCTTCTGTTTCGCCAACAATTTTTTCACACTCACCAACAAGTTATATTTCTCTGTTAATTCTGTGAATAACAATAGAATTTTCCGTTTTTGTTGTTCAAATCCAAAATGAAATTCATGCATGCAGCTCATTTTTATGTAAAGAAAAGGAATTCAAATCAAGTGGAAACATTAAGACGCAATAGCATGATAAAAACAAGAGAATCCATCACATAACTTTAGGAAATGAAAAAAATAAAGGTCGAAATAGTGACGGAACATTGAAACCAAAGGAATAGCTAATTGATTTAAATTAGTTCCTTGAGATGAATAAACAAAATAATATCACAACCAAGTATGCCCAGAGCAAGCATATGTCTGTCTCTTGGTCGCCCATGCACACACACACACACACACAAACACACATAACTTATTGTCCCACACAACAGATTCGTCATCTAGAGACCAGAAGGTAATCTGTCACACATTGATTCCTACCTCTCCAATGTAAAATGAAAATGATAACCGAGAAGAAAAATATGTGTATTCCCCCGACGCAAAGAATGCAACAAAAAAATCGAAAACTGTCCACAGCATAAAAAAAATACTTATCATATTCTTAACAATAGAAACCACAATAAAAAAAAATTCATTCATACGTACATTAAAAATAACCACTAAAAAAATAGGGGAAAAAATGGAAATAGAAATTGCAAGAAATCGAATCATAATTGATAAATTTTTGTGCCGCTCATACATAAACCGCTAGCGATGAAACCACTGGATAGAAAAGAAAACCTATATAGAACGGTCATAAATTTAAGAGGAAAAAAAAAACGAGAAATATCTGTGAATACGAAAGATAAAGTGAAAAGCAAAGAAAACATTAGAGTTTCACTCATTTTGAGCTAAATTTGTAACTAAATGAAAATAAGAAGATGCAAAATGAAATACTACCGTATATTAAACAAGCAAGCAAAGCAAACAAAAAAACAAATATAGTCGTACTAGCCTCCTGGATAATTCAATAACAAAACTTATCACACACATCAACACACACAATTTACTGCATAGATTAATCGCATTCTCGATTCCATAGATGATGAAGGAGAGTTAATAATTTCAAAAAGTGTTTTTTTTCTCGTAATAATACACACACACACACTGCAGCACAGAGTCAAGGTCTATCAACAAAATAGCCAATTCATCTCTCACTCACATACACACATATGAGTATAGCATGTGGGAAAAAGAAGAAGAAGAAAAAAACATCCACCGCAATTTTGTCTTATCGCGTGGCATAACACGAACAGAAAAGCCTAATCGATTTGGCTAATTTTATGGCATCAATGAATGAGCTCTTCTTTTTATTTCTATCAATTTCATTTTTTGTTCATTTGATTTTTATCAACCATTTGTTTGTTTTTTTTTTCACTTTCAAACGAAACGAAAATAGTCGAAAAAAGAAGAATAGAGAACGGAACGGATCATTCTGTTTCGGTGAATTTTTTTAAAAATTGTGATGGCATATTGTCATTTTTTATCGGTTTAATTTTTAACCGCTTCATTTGTAAGCTTCACTTAAACCGGATTTTTATATCATTTTTTTTTCTCTTTTGATCACGCATTTCTGCTTTTTCTGTTGATTCTAACGCAAAAATGACATTGTTCGAATTAATTGAGTATTCGTAAAATGCTTGTGAGACACACATCAATTGCATCGAACACATTTTCATTGGAAATAGCAACAACAACAAATTAAATACACGAATCGATACGACATCAACTCCGCCGTTTATTATTACAAAAAAAAAACAAAGAAAATGAATTAAAAACAAATCAAACAGACCACACACACACATATTTATGTATTTGTATGTATGTTTCATTGTATAAACCGACAAAAAAAAAAAAAATACGCAACTTGTATAGAGAGATTGAGGATGGAGAGAAACCGAAAATATAAATGAGAAAAATACCGTCGAAATGTGTGTGCGTTGCAAAGAAAAGAAATATTGTATTGCAACTATTTTATCATTATGAATATTATTGCTGCTAATTTGTTGTGCATCAAACAAAGAACACACACACACACGACACGCAACAAAATCGCCCAACAGGAAAACGCAAATACAAATCTAACGAAGTGAAAGAGACAAACTAACACACAGAGATACAATATACTGAGATATCGAACAGAAAGCGAAGCGAAAATATACCCAATCAATGAGATGAAGAGATTTCTTTTCTGATTTTTTTTTACGTAACATTTAAATGAAAAAAAAAATTCTATGTGATGAGACAATTGATGCAAATTATCTTATCGAAAATATTGCTAAAGAAAACACAATGATGCATGAAAAATCACACATGAAACTATTGATGAAAACAGTTGTAATTCTAAGTTTTATTTGCCTCCAGCAAAGCATCTAGGTTATAAAAAAGATGAAAGAGAAAAAAATCTTTGGTTTAATTCTAATTATTATTATTATGATTATTATTATAATTCTATATATTATTATTATGAGATATGAGACGATGATATGGAGAAAACAGAAAAAGAATACAAGTTACAAAAACAACAATGGATTCAATTCAATAAATTCAAAAGGAACAATCCAAAAAAGTCAACTACATCAAAAATATTTGAAGTATTATCACATTTGATTTCATTTCTTTTTATTTTATTTTTGTTTTGTTTTTTTTTTCTATTTTTTTTTTTGGTTTACATAATTTGGACGTGGTTTTCTCAACAGGATTGGATTTTATTTCGAACCTGGGATTATTCTAAAGTGCATTTGATGCATCAGCTGAAGATTTTCCAAATAAGGAGCCGACAGGCAATTCACACTTTTTATTCTCTGACTTGAATGCGTAGAGTAATGTAAGATAGATTCATCAATTGATCTCTGACCGAAAACCTTTCACCTTCACAAAATTGGACGTTAACGTGTGCCTGAGATTGAAACTCAATATTGGTAGTATCACTCAAATTGAACTTTAAGATATCTTTCTTTTCACTTCTTTCCTGGAGAATCGCTTCATTGAAATTGGCCGATGAAAGTCTGCTTCTGTTTCCCTCCTTTCCCAAAGAATGGATATCCTTAGATAAGTGCTTCACATGAGAGCTGCATAAAGTTATTTTCCTTTGCCTGTAGTCTGGTAAAATGGATAATACTAGTGAATATCGCTGAACTAAGGACGTAAAATCTCGTTGGCCAAAACGCAAACGTACTAAATAAGATTTTGCTTTTCTGTCATCTTTCAATCTAAAAAAAAAACCAAACCATGCAACAAATCTCTAAACATTCTCGATAAGCGTGTAGATAATAGTAAAATCTAGAGAAAATCTAGAAAACCGAAAGAAAAGAATATAAATATAACACTCATTACAGCATAACAAAAACCATCTCATAGTCAAAAGGAACAGCAGTGGCCGATAAATGGATGTGTTCATTTTGACAGCTCACTAAATTGACCTTATGTCTTCTTAATTCATCACAAAACAAAAATAGACTAAATAATTGTATTGAAAATGTCTAATGATTAAAAAAAAAATAGGAACAAGAAATGGAAATTGTTTGGGTGCAGCATATTTTTGGGGCGACAGTTTTGAGGTGGGAGCGAATGAGTTTAGATGATAGGCAATGAACGTTAAGAGTATTTTGAGTGACGATGGACAGATAGAGAGAGAGAGAGAGAGAGAGAGAGAGAGAGAGAGAGAGAGAGAGAGAGAGAGAGAGAGAGAGAGAGAGAGAGAGAGATAGAGAGAGAGAGAGAGCGATAAAGAGTAAATGAAAGTCGATGTTGAAGTGCGAAAAAGAGTTGAGGGTAGGAAGAGATGCTATTCACCAAATTGCATTTCAATGTCGACTTAATCTTTTGTTCATTCCGAACGTAATATATCAACGAACCTAGCAAATAGAGTTCTGTGCATTCTGTTCTTGAACTTTTTATCAGTATTATTTTTCTCAGTTCCATTCACACGTACATTTTCTGAATCAAATTTTTTCCACACATAGGCTTAAACTGCTCATGAGCATAACCGAAAACTTCACCAACAGCTTCTATTTCAATCAATCTTCCTATGTTTTCTACGTTATCACTTTCATTTTGCTAGCCAAAGAAAACAATGAACTCAAACATAGTTTAAAAAGAAAACAAAATTAGGTGCTCTAAGCGCAATTCATTTCGAATGAAAAACATTATTATATAGACGTTATGTGACGATAACTTTTAAATTAATTTTTTTCATTACAAGTGAAACATATAAATAGTGAGAAAAAAAAAACACAAACACAACACATTCTTCATTGATATTACGTAATGAATGATATACCAACTAAATGTGCATGAACATAATGGCCATGCCAATCGGTGATGATAAACCACAAGAGAAAAAGAATAATTAAAGAAAACACAGACACACAGACACAGACATTAAACATATTTTGTATATAGTAAACAAATTTGATTATTTGGAAGTCAAGTGGATTAAATTATGAAATAATATTTGAAATGGGAATAAAACATAATGTAAAATGATGCCTTTGATCTTTGATTTCTATGATTTTTTTTTTCTTACCTTTTTGCAGTCTCTTTCCTTTCTTTTTTCAGCTTAGCAAAGAAAAATCACTACGAAGGAATCAGCCGGAGTAAGTATATAGCGAAACTTTCGGTGCAAAAGTTGAAGATCTTTCCTTCTCAATGTCAGACTCATTTCAAACTGAAAGAATAAACTAATTCAAAAAAAGTTTGATTCAAGGCTATAAATAATACAAGTCTTCATTTTTTATGCCAAGAAATATTCATTCCCAATTACAAACTTTCAGTCTCCTATTTATATCCAAAGTTTCAGTTCAATTTTAATCGTAGCATATAAATCTGCATTCAAAACACGTTCGCCAATTAAAATCATACCAAAGAGAACCAAATGAAATCGAAAGTGAATTTCGCTCGAAGTTCAAATCAAAACAACATCGAAAACATCGCAGTGGCGAATTCAATCGTACATCGCTTGAAAATATCGCAACTGTCAGTTGACAGGTGTATGGTATGACAGGCAACGCACAAAGGCAAAAATTGTGCGGAATTGGTTCAACCGGTAACGAACGCCACAACTGCTTCGATTTAGCGCGAGACAACAACGTAATTATTTTGTTGCATCGATACGACCGAAAGCAAAGCCTGTCAGCGACACTGAGTTTGTGTTGGTTTCGTCTTACAAACGCGTATTTGTTGATTTTCAGTGTTTCTCGACGAAATACTTGAAAAAGTTTTTTTCTCCCGCTCAGATTGATTGCCGAAGTTTGGAAAAATGCCGAAAAAGAAGGCTGCACCGGAATCGTCATCATCAGACAGCGACTCAGGACCAGACGATGTAAGCATTTTTTTTTTTGATCGAATCCAAATGTTTTTGTTCAAATTTTTATAGTTTGCAAAAATAAGCGTTGTCAATTGCAAATGTATTCATTTGTATTCGGGTTTGTGTTTGCAGCGCACACCAGTAAAGAAACCGAAAAAAGACAGCGATGGCAACTTACAGTTCGAGTTGAGCAACAATCGACGGGTAACGGTGAGTTCGTTCAAGGGCAAAGTTTACGTGAACATTCGTGAATTCTACCAGAAGGACGGCGACTGGTTACCGGGCAAAAAAGGCATCGCACTTTCGCCAGAGCAATGGAACGCGCTGTTGGAAAAGTCTGATGAAATCAACAAAGCGATCAAAGAAACCTAAAAACCTTCTCTGTTCATTTCATTTCATTTTGGTCATTGAAAAATAAACGCACATTGCGAATCCAACTTGGAAATGCATGTTTTTTTTATTATTTGTGTTGAACATCGTAAATGCAATGCATGCGGCTATCTGAGTGTGCTCTATGTAAATGTACCATGAATAACGGGATTCCAATAGGTATTCGGTGTTTTTTACGTCAACTCTGTGTGTTCTCTTGAACAGCTGCTTGCACAAGCTGGTGCATATTGTACTACGCATCGTGATACGAGATAAACGGTGAAAATACTGGCAGCGGCACAAAATCTTCTCTCTCTTCTTTTTCAGTACATATTTTGAAAGCAGACACAATAACTGTAAAACAAAAAGACGATTTGGTTTTTGTCGAGTTTTCAAAGTTTATATTTTTCTCTTTCTGTGTAAATACATTGAATTCGTTCCATTGTTACCAATTAATCTAGAGTTTTTTTACTTCATTTAGCATCAAATATTGAGCGAAAGTGACATTTCTTAGGAATTAGAAGATTTATTTCGGCTCAATAAGACAACAATCATTTATTTTTGGGGGTGAAAAAAGAATTGAAACAAACGGATAAGATTTATCAGTGGATCGTCAATTCATTCCGAACCAACAATATTGTATCGCGTATCATACAATTGTGTTTTGCTCTTTCCTCGATTAAAAACAAATAAGACTTTTCACTATCTACGTAAACCTACAATGAATTTGGTTAAAACTTTTAATTTTTCTCCACTCTCGTTCGTTTGTTACTTTCTTCTTTTTCACTTGACTAAAATCGATAAAATCCATTGGATTTTTCGTTGTTTGTAAAAATATGGAGGCTTTCTTTTGATATTACCGTTCTGATTTTTGTTTCACTTCTTTTTGTGAGGGCTAAGCAAAAACAATTGACTGCAGCAATTTTTTTTTTGCATTGATCTCAATTTCTCGTCCGACACCAAGTGATGTGGTCATCTAGGATGACTCGAGGCATCGGATTATAATCAGAATTTTTACATGATCGCTGATGACTTGATTTTATTGAGGCTATCTTATGCAAAAAAAAGGGTAAACAATTTAACTTTTTCCTTTCATTTGAAATGAAATCTATGGCTTGGTCTTTGTGTATGGTGACTTCAAGGGAAGTGTAAAATAAAGAAAAATTATAGATACATTTAAAAGAAGAGCAATTGAGTGAACAAAATTTCGACTATATGTACCAACAGTTAGTGCCCCTATTCAATCTCATTTGTGAAAGGTTTTGTGCTTATGTTTTTTTTTCTCTCCTAAAAAAATTGAACATGATGTCAAATTGTAATAATGTGTTTCGTTTTTTTTCTGTTCGTTTCCCAAATGAGGAGGAACTTTGTTTAAAAGTCCGCAACTATATTTATGAGATCTAAAATAAGTACATAAAAACACTTATTTTCTCCAACAATAACAACACATAGAGAGATAGAGAGTGAGAGATGACATACAAAGACGATGATTGGCTCCCTAAAATTATGCACTTTGTGTTAAAAAAAAAAAAAAACTTATTGGTGGATCAATTTTACTTGTTCAACAGAAACAGTGTTATTCATTCTTTTATGCCATTAGTTCTTGTTTTCTTGTTCGGGTTTGACAGAGTTCCAACTAAAAATTGGCGATACTTCACAATTTAGTCTAGTTTTTGTTTGTATTTTAATGCATTAAGTCCTGTTTACCTCTATTTACAAAAAAGAGCGTTTTGTGTTTCGTTTACAATATTGGTTTGTTTTTTTTTTCTTTTTCTTTCGTCACACATAATAATAAAATCCTCAATAAATCGTTCTCTTCATTCAAACTTACAGTTTATTTTGTACAAATATAAGAGTTTTTATTCTTCTTAAGACGTGTTTTTCTAACGGTTTTTTCAACTCTTTGCTGTTTTTTTCTTGTGGTAATTTGAAATGGTTTTAACTATGACAATTCTTATTTACATTTTTTTTTTATTCTCATTAAATAATATTCTTCGTTAAAACAGTGTGTTCGGTTCTGAATGCGATTGGACGCCCGTTGATTCAACATTAGTTGAGACACTGTGTTGTTCAGGGAGCCTGGGATGTGTGTGTGTGTGTGTGTGTGTCAGTGTCGGAGAACCAGAAGCATCAGCAGAGAACAATGCAAAGATATGACTTTCATAGCTATGAGATAAATGGGTAACATAAAAATGGTACATGGTTTTTCGGTTCAAGGCCCAGTCGATTTAATCAACCAGCCTCATACGCTATTTCAACAACGTTTTGGACACATTTTTCCAAGGAAGCGTTCAACCATCACATACTCTCTTTCTCCATATTTCGTTTGTTTTCTCCCTTTCGTTTGACAACATTTCTCGCGGACAATGTGACTTAGTTCTGATTTTAAAAACATATCGATCGGCTATATATGGTTCGAAATTCAATGGTTTCAAATGAAATCTACCAAAAACAAAAGAAACACCGAGCTGCAAATTCAAATTTGATTTCCCAAAATATCTAATCAATATATATATATATAGATTCATTTTTTTAATTCATTAAAATCCATTTGCATTTTTACTAATAACTTTCGATCGCTCTCTGTATCTGTCTGTGCCACTTTCATTCACTCACTCTTTAAATATATAACTTTTATGCGTAATAAAAATATTCCATATTTTTTTCAAAGATTTTTTTTTTCAAATGTGTCGTTTTCTTTCAAATATACATATATCTCTTTATACATACATTTATAATAATTGTTTTCTTCCTTAAAACTACCAAAGAAACATGATTTTTTTCTCTCAATATAATAATAATTAAAAAAAGAAGAAGAAGAAGAAATAAAAAGTAAGAATGCAAATCGGTCTGTAGCAGAACATTGCTAGGGTGTGTAGCGATGAAGAAGATAATTGGAACTGTTCGAAATTGTCGATGGAAAACATATGTGCAAATTTCATTTTTGTTTTTTTTGTTGGTTCAATGAGATTGAGAAAATGAAATCAAGACCGAAAAGAAGAGCAACACACATATCCGGTTAGCCGTGGACAACTGTCGTTGCTTTAGATGATGATGATGGTGGTGGTGGTGGTGGTGCTGTTGATAGTGCTCGAATAGCTTGACTGTAGTAGTACTCTGTGTTGTGTCTCTATTTCAAAATTCTCACTATTCAAGATGGTTTGTTATCAGCTTAACATTAAAAAATACGTAAAAAATACACTGAACATCGCATCCTCAATTCATTCCCTTCACTTTTAAAATTTCGAATTTTGTTGTCGGCTTTTAACGGTATTTCGAACGATTTGGATGTTGTTGCTGTTGTTGTTGATGATGATAAAGTCATCTCTCAATCGGTTTTCTGCTGGCAATAGAGCTCTTTTAATGACTTCAGCTCCTCAATTAGCGCTTTATTTTGATTCTCTAATACGGCAACACGATTTTCCAGGCACTTTATATACTCCTTCTTTTTGCGACGACATTCACGAGCTGCTTCTCGATTCTTTTGCAATCGAATCTCACGTTTTCGTGATTGGTCTTCTGCTGTAAGTATGGCAAATAATGCAACAGGATTAGTTTAATTCATACATATATATATATTGTGCAATGTGTTTAAGTCGACTCATTTAAGCTATATTGACACCGTTTTACGTCTTCAACCACGTTATCACACTTGATCACAGTGAAAAGCGGGAAAAAAAATTCCCAAATTGATGCCAAGTCATGCTTACCAGGTACGAAAAATTGTCCATCCGGATTTTGTGCCGCGTATTGCACGATAGTTCCACCGCTGCCACCCGTTTGTATCGCATGTAAGCCATCGGCACTTTGCACGCCGGCAATTTGTAGCGCAGATGTTGGAAGTACTGCAAATAAAAGCGAAATGAGTCAAAGTTTTCTGGTTCGCGCCGTGAGCAGCGAAAATTGGAGTGTGGAACAAAAAATTGGGGTAGGTATTGGGGAAATGAATAAAGAAACTAAAATTGAAATGTTTACATTTATAATTACCAGCAATGTCGGGGCCCGTGATGTCTTTCAGAATTCTATGGTATGATGGCCGTCGTGTCAGCAAATCCCTTCGTCGTTTTAGCGAATCATCGTCGCTCATGCTGTCGTTATCACTGTTCGTATCTGTGGCATGCACTTGATTTGCTAGCGAATGCGGTTCCGGTTTGATCTGCAAAACAACGACAACAAGGACAAAACAATTTGATCAACATCGACGCACTCTTTTTGTGTTGCGTTGCCGCTCTGCCACCGAAGAGGTGTTTCTCTCTTTCTCTCTCTTCGTTCCAATGAGCCGAATTAGCGGAAGCGACATGAGGTCAATGCTATACTAATAGAAGTGCAGTGAGTACAATACGAACCTGAACTTGGATACCAGGCGCTGTGTGTATGACTGAATTTCCTTTGTTCACATACAAAACACCTTTCCCCAGTAATGGCTGTAGATTAGCTGCTGTTTGTATGACCGACGATTGATTGGCCTGTATTACAGATTGAGCCTAAAATTAATTGCGCGGGACAATATGGCGATGAGCAGACAGACAGACAGCGAGAAAAGAGATAGAGAGGAAGAGAAAAGAAACAGGATGCCGGACAATGAGAAATACAGAATGGATGTTGTTGTTGTTGTTGTTGTTTTTTGGTGATGTCTTTCCATGTACGTTGCGATTTTATCGACGACAAAAACAAAATCATTTTCTTAATTTAATTGAATTTGCACGCAATTAGAGTTGAGAAACCAATTTGATTGAAACAAATTCGACGACTTGAATTTCCATTTACAGTGGTTATCACATTACGATCAAACATGGTTGTTTGCTGTTGATTTCGATGCGCCTTGGAAACGCACAATTCAATTTCAATCAAGTAAGAAATTGCGTAACATATTTCCTTTCCACTGGTCCACACGACGCGCCATTCGATACTGACATTTGTTAATTCGACGTAGAATAATTTCAAAGATGTTGCCGTCATTGGATGGATAACGCACATGAAATTGAGCGTTGTCATTTAATTTTCATGGCATTTTCATTTAGGACATTTTTGTGATGTAATCTCTCGATGCCAAATTGGACAAAACAAATGGAAACGAACAAACAAACAAACAAACAAAAAATGATGCGAACGATAAAATGAGATGAGATTTTGTGTGAGCATACCTGAACGCTTTGGGTTGGAATAAATTGTACAATGTTCGCTGACGTTGCCAAAACAGCGCCCGATGGCGACGCGTCCTGTTGCTGTTGTTGATGTTGTTGTTGCGGTTGATGATGATGCAACGCTGAGGATAGCTGTGATTGTTGCGACTGATGTGTTGAATTGTCGTCGGTATTATTGTGTCCAGATGCCGATTCACCGCCCAATGGATCGAGGCTCGAATTACCATTTTCTTCGACCATGTTGCTTTCCATAGCAACCGTGTTGCCACCACTCGTATCTTTGCACCAATCGGCTCACCGCTTTTTGCCCACTTAATCGTTCACTCTCTCTTTCCTTTCCCACTTGAACTGCCAGAATTCAAAGTTTTTTTTTTTAATCTTTCTTCTGTTTATTTGTATCTCTCTGGTTTTCACTTCGTTTGAATCGTCTTTGTATTCACTCAATTGATATCTGAAATACAAAACAAAAGAGAAAAAGATGAAGAAAATAAAATGAAATATCACAAATTCGATCAAATTCCAGTTGGATTCATAAATTGATTCTAATAAGAATATCATGCCGATTGGCATATTTTTTGTTTGTTTGTGTCGATGTCATTCGAGAAATACCGATGTCAGACGTATGTGTGTGTGTGTGCCCGATAAAAATGCCTTTAATAATTGTACATGAACTTTTTTTTTTACTTGTAATAATTCACGATGTACAACAAATAATTGGCAGCGACAAGGTAGCATGCACTTATCACATTTAAATTTCAATGAAGCAAATAAAACCAATTAGGCATAACAAAAATGTGAACGCGGTTAATATGATAGTTCAGCCAAACGGTGCAAAAGTGTCAACGCGACTCTTTTTTTTCGTTGTTCGTTTGTAATTTTATTTTTCGAGTTATTATTTTGTATGTTTTCTTCTAATCGGTGCCTATAAAAAAGTGACATGGCTAATGACAATGTCATTTTGTTGATGTTTTGATAAAGCGATTAGCGCAAAAAATTGCATAAAATTGTTCAACTGAAAATAGCATAAAATGCAATGCAATTATTAGAAATGGAACCGAAATCCGTGCGCACTTAATTAATCGGCGAGTAACAAATGCAGCAGTAGAGACGGCAGCGGCAGCGGCAGCGATAATCACAAATGTCGAATTTCAATATCGAGGATTTTTGTAAACACAAATAATATTTTGTGACTGTACGGCTATTTTGTTGATTCTGTTCTATTCATTCGCATCGTGTATTATTGTGGATGGTGGTGGAAGAGAAACGCACGCGGGGCAGAGAAGCAGCAGGCAACACACCGCGACTTGTATGTGTGTGTGTCTATGTATATGAATGCGATTATACAAACTCAGTCAAAGCACAAATTTGTGTGTACTGATGACGCCATAGTTTAAAAATACGAATGAAAAACGAAAGAAAAAAAAAACGCAAATATAGCGCGCGCTGAACAGAATCATCACCGAAATAATACTCGAATCGACAAGAGAGCAACAGCAGAATAAGTAAACAGAACGGTGAACGGAGAAGGACAAAAATAAAAATATTATGAGAGCACACAACCGAGAATATAAATCGCGCCAGCGTCACTTTGACTCTTTCGAATGGAAAATTCAGTTCGAGATCAATTGATGAATGTTCAATGCCTTTGTACATACACTCACACGCATACCTAAACACACTAGATTTTTCCCCCGCACCGTGAGACACGCAAATAATTACTAAGTTTCGAGTGGCCAACGAACAAAACGAGAACATACTTTTTGTTTGGTATCTTTCCGTCAACGTACACACAAAATAAAAATTCCGTTTTCTCATTTCTGAACCGATTTCACGAACGACGTTTTCGATGGAGCTGCTATAGAAATTCTCCCGCTAAATATTCGCACAACTTTTTTTTGTTGATTACAACTCTTGGAAACGGGCATTGTTTTCATTCCGTTTTGGCATATGGAATGATTGCACTCATAAACCATAGATAAGGTGCATGGATAAAACGAACTACTCACACAAACGCGCATACACTTCATACATGAACACAGCTACTGATAATAAGAAATGCCACATTTTCCTCATTCAACACATATTTTGGGCTAATTTTTTTCTTCAAATCCCACATGTTGTCTAGGTTCGATATTTGTTTCTCATCAATTCACTTAAATTCCTTTGCATCCAATTATGAATCGGTTCGTTCAATTTTCAACCGCTTTTTTCCCCCGAAACGATGGATAATCGCCAACAGTGTGTGGTGGATATCAATGTAAAATAAAGCATACACACCGAGGAAGTGCGGAGCAAACTGGATATAATTGATATGGAATGTTGTGCGTGTTGGTGTGTCTGTTTACAGGCAATTTAATCATTTTGGCTGGGCGGAAAATGGGAACGAAATTTCATCAACACACCATATTGTGACTGGTTGATTCGGAACGGGTATTCGAAAAATCTATTATGTAAATTGGGATTTTGTTGTTGTGAACTGCACATATTGCCAATCGGTTAGGGTACTTATTTCAACTCGCCCGTGCAAATAACATTCACATAATTCATGAGTTCATTCGCTCAAGTGATGAAGAACCACCGATTTAAAAAAGAAAAAAAAATCAGAATGAAAATATGCATTTTTTTCAATGAAGTCAAAAAAAAACGAGAGACAGAGCGAAAAAAAACTCAGCTACACCAACATATTTGTACGAATAATCCGTTTCAGAGCACACAAACAGGCGAAGAATTGGTTCGCGCCTTTATTTTTGCAACAATCAAAATTGTCGAAAACACTCACTCATACAAACTCACGTTGCCTGTTAATCAAATCAGAAAATCGTTTTTTTTTCAGTTGGGCACGAATCATTTTAACATTTTCAACTATTTGTTTATTTTTCCCGTCTTTGGAATAACAAAAAAGAATTTCGGTGTGTGCCGTCGTCTCGTTGAAATTCACAGTAGAAAAATGAACGATAGTTTTTTTTCCTTCTCTTGTGTAGATTTTGTATCAAAGTCAATGAAATTTGTTAAATTTAACCAAATGTGACACATTCACATACAGTGTTCACAAATACAACGATAAAAGAATTTTCCTTCATATCGTTGTGCTGCCTGCTTGCCTGCCTCGGTCATGAATATGCACAAATACACAAGCACTCACAATAGCTATATGTTTTTTTTTCTGCTGCTGCTACTGCTCTCTTATGACATCTATATCTCTTTGAGCGAGGGAACAAAAATAAAGAGACGAACAAAATGAACAAAAAATTACGATAGAATGTAATCCAACAAAAAATTATTTCGTATCACACATTGTACGAAATTGTGTCGTCGTTGTCGTCGTCGTCGTCGTCGTCGACAGCGATGATAATAAGAAAAATCGCAGCGCACTTATGAAACACACACGAGAGCGAGAGAGAACGTGAGCACCATGAACTTTGTGAACGATTACAACGATACAACAAAAATAATCCCAAATTAGTTCATAAAACCATTGGATGAAACGAGTCCCTCACTCTCTCTCTCACACACAATGTGTACATATCGCCACAACACGTCAATATTGTGAAGACATTTTTTTTCCTCTCTTTCTCCTCGTTTTTCTGTTTTGGAATCCAGGCAATCACCAACAAAATAATACACACGATGTCAAAATACTCCAACAAGAATATGTGCAGAGTGGAAAAAAAAACACACCAATTTTTTTTTTATACACAAAACACAAAATTATTACCTAATTTAGATCAAATCATATTAATATTATTTTTTTCTCCGTGAAATTTCCTATCTATGATGGCGAATCACAAATGCGAATCAAAATGTACACCAAAAAAAAAAGCGAAGACAAAATCAAAATGCAAAGTGAGGAAAAAAAACACAACAGCAGTACAAAATCATAATATGAGAGGATTTGAATACTTACCACTTACGTATATCACGTATTCGTCACACACGGTGCTGTTGCTGTCGCAGTCGCTGTGATCGCTCTCACTCGCAACCCATATAGTCTACTGTACTAAACGACGTAAAAGCCACGTCAAAAGCATTGCCAGTGATTTGGTCGAATATTGTTGCCGCACCGTTCGCTCAACTGGAGGTGAAGGAACGAGCGACCGTGACAACGATAACTGCTGTATGTATTCTCTACTGTGCAGGCACTGCGCGTAAATGTCTTGGTATTCGAGACCAACGAAATTGACGGAAGATATATTGGGCTAGCGATTCGCATGCGTTCGAACGAGACGACGATATCGGCGCTGACAATAACATGCAATCACAACACGACACACGCACACACATTCACGGGCGCACACGATACATACGATCGAATACGAAACTGGGCACACATTCTATGAATTGTGACTTTGTTCGGTCATCACCGATGATATTTCTTGTTCGAATGTTATTTGAATTCGGAAACGAATACATGCGCCGTATTCATTCAGCACCAATACAGCATTGGAACGGGATTTTGCTTACAGTTTCGATTCGTAATAAAATACGTGCCACAGCGCGTCATACATTGACGACGAACGACGAGTATTTGGGGGGAAATCGAGCGTGTGTGTATATGTGCTGTGTGCTATATACAGAAAACTCGTCGTTCAATCATCATCGACGAATGAATAAACACACACACACACGAACACACTCGCAGACCCATTGAACGACGTAATTTGTTCGTTTCCAATTTGAATTCTGGTGGTCACTGGTACATGAGCGCGCAATATGTTATTGTGAAAAATGGCTTGATGTGTGCGTGCAATTCTGTTTGTGTGTTGTGGCAAATGGATTACATCGTTCCGAAAATGTCTCTGGTCGTTTCGACGTTCAATCGCAAGCAAAGTGTATCATATGCAAAATGTTGAGTTGATTCAGGTAAAGCGCGCAATGCTAAAGGCCAACCGAATGAAAAATCGGGGCCAATATAAGAGAATTTCCCATTTCTTGAAATTGATAGGCGTCCAAAAATGTGTTTGAATAAATTATGCTTCCTTCCGATAAGGCCAACGGGCACTTTCGATTGTCGAGCAATCATTGCGCGGCGGAAAATTCAAACAACCCAAAAAAGAAACATAGTCATCGATGACGTAGAACCATTGGAACGTATGAACAGCGCGGACGGATGGAGCCAGAGAGGGAAATGAAAACAACATCATAATAATAATAATACTAAGCCATCAACCTTATAGTGTGCGGTCGCCTTCAACATATACTCGTTCACTTCGACCACAATCTCTTTTGGGTTACTGGAGCTACGGTCATTGTTGTAATGCATTCAAAATATTTTCTTTTATTCAAAAAAAAAGGCAAACAAACACACACACACATACACAGAGAGAGAGAGAGAGAGAGAGAGAGAGAGAGCACCACGAAATAATATGCTGTTTATATAATCGATTGACTCACATTTTGCCCGCAGTTCAACTCAACTTTATTCGCAGTTCAACAATGTTTCTTCTTTTTTTTGCTGCTGTTCGTGTCGTCGCTTTCCTCATTGTGTCTTATCATGTGTTTCTAACCACTTGCAAAAAAGCAACACATTGTAATACATATCTATGCCGGAGCTGGTGACTTGATTTGTTGTGTCGTTTGTCAAGCATTTGTATGCATAGCTTTAGCTATTTTGTTATGGTTTCATTGCGCCCAATTAATTTCCATACGCTGGTTTCACTCAGATTTTTTTTTTCATCGCTCGCTTTGTCTCTTTCTCCTCCTTGTCCGGCCCCTTTTGAACTCTATCGCTCTCAGTGCATTTATTTTTGTGCCATCGCTTTTCGAAATTGAAATTTTCCATTTGGAAATACGATAGAAATGAGTGTGTGAGTGTGAGTGTGTGCTCGCCTAGAATCGAATCTCAATGTAAAATAGAGTAAAAGAAGGAGAACATGATGCGTCAAATGAACGCAATTGACGACCAATAATGTTGATAACAACAAACCAAATATATGTATACATAGAGAGAGAGAGAGATAAAATATGTGTTGGTAATATTGACGCCGTGAAATGACATCGACTTATCCTTTTCGACACCTATGTCATGACAACACAATAGTACGTACCAGTACATGGGAGTGTGTAATTAAAACCGTTGTTCGAACGACTGATTGCTTTATCTGGCGTCGCTTTCTGTAAAGCAATATATGAAAATTGAATGGCTTTATGGCTGGCGCGAAGGTTAAGGCAAATTAAATAGTTATCAACGTTTGGAATTGCTTGCACACATACACACAAATACACACCCAAGCGACCCAAGAATGAATGATATACGGTGATAAGACATTTATTATACGGCAAATGAGAACATCGAGCGAGTCTGAGAATTCGAATATCAAAATTGTGATTAGTCTGTTCATCATCATCGTCGTCGTCGTCGTCGTCGTCGCTGCTGCTGTTGCTGCTGCTGACGAGAGCTCTATTGCTCGCTGTGCTGCTTACGTACATACCAAGCATTTGGAATGTACACATAATACGCGTACGTAAATATGAACATTCAGCAAACTTTCTACGGAGCCCACGGACTGACGTCAGTGTGGCACATAAAAACACAGCACCAATGACGTCATCGCATCAACAATAACAATAGACAGATCAAGAGACTATCGAGAATGTTATTTTGTGCTGAGTGTAATTTTTTTGTTCATGCTGCTTTGCTGCTGCTGCTTCTGCTGCTGTCGCTGCCCGCTTACAATCCCTTTTTCTGCGATAGAATGAATCCAAAGGTTTCGTTGTCATGTGCACGACGGAATTCAACGTTTACATTGAATATATACATTACGTTCAACATGCAATTCGTAATCGCAAACTTGTTATTTTCTTCAATTTTCCGTATGCAGTCTTTCTCATATTTCGTTTCTCGCTCTTTCACCTCGAATGTATCCAGCAAACCGTGTGGCTGTGCTGCATTTACACAAAGCTAACTCGTTATTTGCTGCTTTCCACCTCGCCTCTCGCTCTCGCTCTCTCAATAATTCAAATTCATATCAACAACCAGTTGTTAGGCTTATTGCCGCTTTTACGTCATCGTTCGAAGCTTTCAACATTTTTTATTTACTTCATTATATGGAAATGATAATTTTTATTTTTGTTACATTTGCAAATTGGAACAATTCTTTTTTTTCTACATTGCTGCGGCATTGAGCACTTCTCATTTATTTGTGTAATGTTCATTTTATTTCTCAGTTCAATCACAATAACAAATGTCAATGTAATTTCTCGAAAACTGCTGTACAAATAACTCTATTAATTTTGCTGAGGGAATTTTTTTTTGCTTTTATACAGAAGAAGAAATTCAATTAAATAAATATTGTTTTAGATATGTTTTGATGGTTTTGGTTTCAATAAACGGCCAACAAAATTGAATAGTTCGCTAGTTGAGCGTTTGTAAGCGAATTGTCCTCGCACAATTGTTGCATGCACAATACCCTTCAGCTGTTTGTTCATGTACGGATTGGCTTTATTGCGGAAGTGAATAATGTCTGGTGTCACTGTGAACTCATCCGATGGATCCCATATGCACAAATCCGCATCATATCCTTTGGCCAATTTCCCTTTTTGCTCGTGGAAACCGCATAGTTTGGCTGGCTCTTCGCACATTAGTCGAATCAGGTCATTGATGCCCAAACCATGCTTCGCACAATTCGTCCAGAATAATGATAAACCTTCGGAGTTGATAATGAAAAAAGAAGCATTGACATTGACACAGTTGGAAATAGTTTTAGGAAGAAAAATTGAAGAAGCAAATGGAAAATCAATGAAAAATCATGAAAATATCAATGGTTTTATGCTATTCATGTAGAAATTCACTCAGTGGATTTAAGTAGTTTCGAATTGAATTTTTTTATATGAACAAATTGTCCACTTTATCGATTGATACATACCAAATTGAACTGAGGAAATTCCACCCCATGCTTTCATAAAGTTCCCATAGTCAGGACCATCGAACAGCAATTTCATCTCGGCTGTACTTGGCGAATGATCCGAAACCACCATATTAATATCACCTGATTTTAAACCATTCCACAGTGCTGTCTGATTAGCAGCATCTCTGATTGGCGGGCAACATTTAAAATCGACACGATCTCGCGGCACTTCATCCGCATTCAAATTCAAATAGTGATGACAGGTTTCGACCGTTAAACGATTTCCAACGTTGCTTCGGAATAGCTTAATTAACGGCAATGCGTCAGCTGCCGATAAGTGAACGATGTGCGTTCGAACGCTAAGGACGTTTTAATCATTTTAATTTATTTATTTCTCAAGGTTATCGTTTCGCTTATTGAAATAGATTTATTGGATTCTAAAAAATACCACACAGTGGAAAATAAAACCAGCTTATGATGATTGTCGATTTACCTATCGTATTTTTGAGCCACACGAGTTATCATTTCTATGGCTTTTAGCTCCAAAGAGGATGGTCGCGTTTTCAAGTATGTTTTAAATTCGTGAACATCACCACCATCTGAATCAATAGCACCGTCGTCACATTTTTCGGCATGAAACTTTATGGGAAAAAAACAAGTTTTTGAAAATGATTTTTTTTCCGTAAAATTTTAATGGTTTTTTTCAAAACAACATAAAACCTCTTTCGTTACTAGTTTTGCTAATTATTTATTTAGTTATTTTATTGGGTGTTTAAACAAAGTAATTTTGCTAAAATTTTCGATAAAAGTCCAACTAATTGAACATAAATCAATCGATTAAAAATTTATAACAAATCAAAACAAGATTGATGCTAATCGAATATGTGAAAGAGCATACACTGGCTGTTAATTATACCGCAGAATTCTTTAAGCATAAAATTTGTGATATCAATTTAGAAAAAAAAAATCATTTCGGCGCGATGTTTAATCGTGATGAATGTGAAATAGGCAAATTGAAATCGCCCCGAAATGATTTTTTAAAAATTGATATCACAAATTTTGTGCTCGCTTTCGGCACGAGAATTGTCTAAGACTCTTAGATAGATATGGATGAAAAGCGAATTTATTTGATTGCATCGTCCAGTTCGGTGCGTAAATTCACCATTTTTGCTGAAATACATGCGTGGAAAATGTCGATCTCCTTACAATTCAATGAATCTAATTTCAAAATTTCAATCAATATTTCGTGATCACAATCGATGAAATCCTTGGTGTTGAATAGCATCTTGGCATTTGAACTTATATGAAGTTGACACAAATCTTTCAATACTTTAATATCATACAGAATCGCCAATTGAAAGCTAAAACATAAGTTTTCCATGGTCACCGATTCCAGAAGAAAATTTATGCATTCATTAACAAACTCATTGACGAGTGATTGTTTAGCCAGAACCGAAAACAGAAAAGAATAAACGGTTCTAATTTAAATGAGAGAAACAAGAATTGACCTCTGGCAACACATTCTATTGCATTGGATTACATCGGGTAACCGACGCACTATTTCTTTGTTCATATCTTTGTTTATGTTTGTGTGCGCACTCGGGCGTAGAATATGCGTTCTTTCAATTCATTCGTTTTCTATTCATTCACTGAATGCTAGCAAACAAATTGTGTTTGTAATTTATTGTTTACTTCAGTGTTTATCAAATTGAAAATTTTAAATCAACCAAAACTAGCGATTTTTTTTATTATCGTAACAATTAAATATTGTGGAATTTTTTTTACAACGAATTTATTTTTTGTGTAAAAATCAACTTGCAGAATGACTATTTTGGGTGATTTCAAGAAATTTGTATTTCGTGGCAATGTAATCGATTTGGCGGTTGGTGTCATCATCGGTGCTGCATTTGGCAAAGTGGTGACATCATTGGTCAACAATGTTATAATGCCACCGATTGGATATCTGACTGGCAATACTGACTTCAGTAATTTGAAAATTCTCATCAAAAATGGAACTAAACCAGAAGATGAAGTGGCCATCAAATATGGTGCTTTCATCCAGGATACGGTTGACTTTCTCATCATTGCCTTTTGTGTATTCGTCTTGATCACCATCATCGGTAAACTCCAAAGGAAAAAAGTGACAAAGGAACAAGAGCTCATACCTCCAGCTCCACCAGCACAAGAAGTTTTGCTTGCTGAAATCAGAGATATTCTGAAATCAAAGCCTATCGTTTGAAATGCTTAAATGTACTTTCATCAATAAACGCAATAAGTGTCGTGAAATGGAAAAATGTTTTTTCCACCCAATAGAATCACACTTGATAGATAAATGTTTTAGATAAATATACTCACTCACATGTGATCAAAATACTCTTTTTTTGCACGAATTTTAACGAAGTACAAATATACACAGGGCTTATGACTCAACTACCTCATTTAGAAATGGAAAATGTGCCGCTTTTATTCTACTTATATATTATATGTAACATTGTACACAAACGCCTTTTAACCAATTCTGTTTTAACAATAAAACCGATTTTTTTTTGACAGTTTACAAAAATTGATTGTTTTTCTTGCATTTATCATTGCTCTTTCTTTGAAGCATCAAACAATACAAAATTCTATGTATTTTGATTGTTCATAGTACTAGTTGGTGAAAATAAATTGGACGAGTGAGACACTTGCATTCGACATTCCTGGACAGCTCAAATCATACATGAAAAAATCTTTTTTATTTCATGGACGGTCGATAGGCATATTCAGCTCTATTGAAAAAGTGGTCAAGTTTTTATATTTATTCCATATTTGAAAAATGAAGACAATGTAAAACAAGACCGCAGATCGTCTCTTCTATGCGTTCTTGAAGCTTATAAATTTAAAAGGTTTAGTTAATTTGATGTTTCTCATCAAATTATTATCGTAAGCACTACATGGAATGTAGTTTGATTATTGAAAGTTATTTTAAAAAGTTAACAATTATGTTTGATCTGGACGTAATATTTTCTGAAGACGACAAAGTTGACGGGGTGATGTTAGAAATGTCTGTTTCACAAGTTTTAGTTATAAATCATTTTGATATTGTCACATAGCATTTGTCCCCTTTGGAAACGTTTACCAAAGGTTATCTTGGACCGTTTGCTATAGAATAATATCAAGCATTTCCATCTTGGTTGTATGACTGTTTTCGTTTTAATGTTCCTACTATTGTGATTACCACACAATTTACGAAAAGAGCCAGGTTTTTAACGAGGCGAGAACTGAAAGTTATTGAAAGTTACTGCTATTAATTGTTTATTATTCTAAATAATTGTAACAGTCTTGCACTCTTTTCCGGTCAAACCTTAATCAAAACCCACATTATATTCAGCCAGAGCTTGGCGATGTTTAATAAAATAAAAAGAATAAAAAAATTTAATGAATTTATAGGATGATATTGTATTCTTTACTTTATGTTTTATGTACAATGTACATTGTACATTCAATGTGAATGGTCATCGTACATTATTTCACATTGGTAACGAATAAAGTGTGATTTTTTTTTTGAGTTATCTCAAAATCGAATCACATGAACATGAACATATTTCATTTTTGCAATTAGGCGTAATTGCTTTATTTGAAATAAAAAAATATGGATATTAAAATGAATTAATTTACGGTCCGAAAAAGTGGCCTAAAGACTCTTTAAATTTTCTTGAAAAAAACAAAACAAAAAACAACTACAGTAACCTACATTCCATGTAGTGCTAAAAAGACTTACCGCAATCAAAGCATTCAAATTAGCGAGTTGTTGATAGGCGAGTTCAACATCTTCTTCGTTAACATTAGGGAATTCATCGACACCACTTGGGCATAGAAAGCACTTGAAACCTACGACGCCTTGTTCAATTAACTTCGGTAGTTCTTTGTCATTTCCGGGAATGATTCCGCCCCAAAATCCAACGTCAATGCAAATTTGGCCGGTGGTAGCTTTCTGTTTTTCCCGCAAGTTTGCAACGGTCGTTGTCGGTGGAATCGAATTGCTATGTATTCAAATATGGGGATAAAAAAATTCAGCACTGTTAAATTGTCGCTCTGAATGTTTCGGACACATGCGCAATGCAAATGACTTGATGGCAGATGGTTATTTTGTCAATTTACCAAAAACCAGACGGAACATTACATTCATCATAACACTTTGTGAGTTGTATAATGCATTTAGACTCATTCCATATATTTATAATTGAAAATTGTTGTTTAATTTCTGATTTCGTAGAAAATGAGTAGTGAAAATCAAAACGACGGTGAACAAACAAATGGTGGTGGAAAAACAGACGAAGTCGATGGTTATCAAAAGCTCAATGAAATCGAAATAGTTGAACAAGCCAAAAGTGAAATCGATGTCGCACCATCCATCGAACTATCACTGACACAATCACAGCACGATTGTGAGAATATCAATGAATTCACATATGAGGCGACAGAGACGAGCATCGAAAATGATTTGCTGACAGAGAATGTCCGATTGAAGGAGGCACTTAGCAAAACAAAAGAACAATATGGCAACATACAAGGTCTTTTGCGACACAATGAAGAGGTGATTGAGGTGCAAAAAAAAGAACTGTCTCTACTTGAATCAGAGAAAAATGCATTGCGTCGTGAATATGAAACCGGAAAAAAGGAAAAAGAGCAAGCCGTCGTACGGTATGTGATGCTGGAAAAGAATATCATCGATGCAAATGCGGCAAAAGATTTATCGGCACGAAAATTACGCGATTCACAAAAAGAAGTCGAAGCACTTACCAATCGGCTAAAATTCGTTTGCGGTGAACGTGACAGAGCGCACAAAGAGATGCGCGACCATATTCGCGAGAATGAAAATTTGAAATACGATTTACAAACATGTGAAACGAAACTCAAGTGGAACCAACGGAATTTAACGCAAGAAAAAGCGTTAAAATTAGAATTGGAAAAGAAATTGAATGAGGCAACCGAGCAATTGAATCAATTGAACGAGCAACGTCAACACGAAATCGATACGGAAAAAAAGTGTGAACGAGAACAAGGCGCTCAAATGATTATGCTGAAGCATATGATTGACGAGAAAGATCGAAATATTGCACAATTGCAAAAGAGCTTGAGTGACTTGAGATCGGAATTTACGATAATTTTCGAGAAGAATGAAAATCTAACGAAAGATCTCGAATTGGAGAAGGAAAAGTCGGAAGCGGTACAGGATAAACTTCATGAAATGGAAACATCCATGACCGAAAAGAGTCGGTCATACGAAGACCTCCAGTCAAAACTCGAGCTGAGCGAAAGTAATTTAAGTAATCAGAGAAGTGAAAACGAGAGTATGATAAAGGCCATCAACAAATTGAAGTATATCGAAGAGTGTTACAAGGAGCAATCGGAAGAGATGGCCACATTGCGCAAGAAAGAGGATGAATTTTTGGCGCTGCTGAAAGATTTAACAGAAAAATGCGTTTTAGTGGAGAATAAATTGATTTTAGCGAATTCAAAATCGTCCGCACTGATGTTAGATAATGAGCGACTGAACAAAGAGCACAAGACAAAAGTGAAGCTAGTCAAAGACATGGAAGATGAACTGATCAAGGCGAAACTGAAGCATAATGATGAAATTAAATTGTTCAATCGCATTTTGGCCGATGAGAAAAACCACAGCGAAACATTGCGAAACCAATTGGACAATGTTATTGGTGATTTGGAGGCGTCAAAGAATAAGCATTCTCAAGTTGTGAAAGAATTGAACCGTGAATTGACTACACTGCGGAAACGGTCGAACGAATCGTCTCCGTCGGCTGACAGCGGTTTTGGGACGGATGGAGAAGCACGACGACACACCGAACAACAATCAACTTCCAACGTCACACCGAATGATAATCAAGAACCGTCAAAGAAAGCACTCATCGATCGAATCGTAAAACTCCAACGTCAATTGGCCAAACAAACGGAGAAAATTGAATTTTTGGAAAATCATTGTGTCGCATTGTACAATGAACTGAAGGCCAAAACATCGTAACCTATGAGAGGTGTACCTGATCCATTAAATGGCATTAAACGATAGAACAATGGTTAAATGAACTGAACTGAATATTGAAATGGATTCCACATGTTATATCAATTTAGTTTATGTTATCTCTGTAAATAAAGAGCGAGATTTCCTTATGATTTTGCAAAAATTTGTGTGGTTTTTTCTTTCTTTTTTCTTACAGTGGCATATCAACGATCGTAGTGAAGCCTCCGGCTGCTGCTGCTTTGGTGGCAGTTTTAAAACCTTCCCATTCAGTACGACCCGGTTCGTTTATGTGCACATGTGAATCAACCAAACCCGGCATTATCACCAAATTCGTATAGTCATATGTCTAGTTGAAAAAAGAGAATTATTAATACATCAGTTTCGGGAGTTTTTTTTTCATTGAAACATGAAGAACCGAAGAAAAAAATGAAATGAAAATATTTATCTTTTCAAAGTATTCACCTCAATGTGTTCATTTGAATCTAACCATTGTTCGATTTTGGCACAATCTTTGAACACTTCTTCAATTTTTCCATCGTCATTCACCACGATACCGCCGTTATGAAAACTTCCATCAATAAAAATCCGATCACTTATGAAAAGTCGCACCATTTTGTGTTGTTTTTTTTTATTTTCTTAAACGGCTGCACGGGTTTTTCTTTTCAACTTGACAGATTGAACTGTTATGAAACACACAACTTTCTAAACAGAATCTTGAACGCTCTTACGACTGAGATAAAAGTCTAAACGATTTTAACGCAATTGAAACAACTGAAACCAAACGGTTTGATAACCCAAATGTTCCTGATAACAAGCGGAAAAGAGAGACACGAATTAATGATGAAAAAGTGATGAAAGCAATACAAGGGGCGGTCTACTATGCTCTGTGATAACAAAAAGAGTTTTAATCTTGTTGTGCTTTCATCGAATGTCAAACTTTGATTTGGTAAACAATGTTCGGTGATCACGAGTGCCAGTGCAACTGTCACATTTATCGTTTCTCTTTTGTTTATATTCACCTAAATTTACAGCACAAATGACCAAACAATCGCACGCATCGAAGATGCAATACAATGGTGAATACCGTCTTGCTTACACTCACTTGGCATAATGACTGAACAAAGTAGAATTGTGGCCATTTTTCAAGCGAATTCCGACTACGCACTATTTATGCCCCTTGGATGAGCGTCAACCAATTTGTTTACATACAAACGTTATCAATAATAAAATAAACGTCAGCAGTTTCAGCTATTTCATGTGATAATTGAATAGAAACAATAAAATGCGGACAAAATTACTGCACAAAATATGGTAACAGATAAAAAAACAAAATTCGCATTCGAAATGATGTGTTCTTTCTTCTTTCGGTTTCTTACACCTACTGATTGCCATGCAAATTCGGCGAATATGAATCAGGAATGATCGATGATGAAAAAAACATTTTTTGTCAAGCCCAATGTGGGAAAACAGCTGATATAACGAACGTGGCAAGCTAGGTGGCAAGTCAGTAGCAAATTCCAATCGAATCTAATTATTAATCCGTAGTTGAAATGATTCGAACACATGATTGAATTTTGTTCTTTAAGCTAAGTACACAGTTCCTCGTGAAATGAAAAAATTTCTCCGGTGAAATTTTTACAGGTGATATTTGTATGGTGGTTTGTATTTTCGAATTGCAAGCATAATGATTTTTGATGTATGAAACAGTTAACTCCCTCCAATATCAACACAACACATGAACAAATTTGAATTTTGAATTCAAACTTGAATTTATTTTGATCTTTCTTATTTTTTCATGGCCGTGAAAAAAATTTCGCGTACATTTTGCACGCGAAATATTTTTCACGATCGTGAAAAAAATTTATTTAGACAAAACACATAGAAGAATGAACTCAAAAACCAAATTTTTTCATGTGTCGTGTTGATATTGGAATGAGTTAGCTGATTTATACATAAAAAATCATGATGCTTGCAATTCGAAAATAAAAAACACCATAAAAATATCACCTGTGAAAATTTCACCGGGGAAATTTTTTCATTTCACAAGGAACTGTGTACTTAGCTTTACAATGATAACTAAAAAATTTAGTTTAAAATGCATACCTATTTTAATTTGATTATTTTTTATTCCAATTTTTCCATTCTAGGTTCCTTCTTTGGTCAGAACAAAAATATAAAAACTCTCTTCAATTTTTGTCTATTTCATTTTTAATTTAAAATTGTTAAATTAACAACAATTGATTTTGTTTACAGTTTTGGAGCTTTTCAATCCAACTGAAGTATGAAGGGCAAATGTTTGTGACAAATATTGTGGGGCACGTAAAGATGCACTGCATCACATAAGAACTTTTCTTCACCCTGGAAGAGAAGAATAGGGTTTCTCGTGTGAAAGCAGGTGAATTAGTAAACGAGCTAAAAGGCAAAGGAACCTGCAACTTTTGTGGAGTTCCAGCAAAAAGCGTTATGGCCAGTGCTAACCAAAATATTTACATAAATAATAAATATTTAAATAAATATTTTCGCCGTTTTTCGGGATGAATAAATATTTGGACGATTTGTCATTTTTTGTAAATATTTCGTACATTTTTCATATATTCTGCGAATTTTTCATGAGAATTTCATCTCAGACTTTACTGTTCGAGTTTGTCATTGATCAGAAGATGAACTGCATAAAAGATAAAAGATATCAAATACATTAGATTTGGTTTAAAAATGTTCTGAATGGCCAGTCTTCGCGTTTACACGTGAAATGCTTAAATGTGTACACATCATACTGGTGCACGATGGTATAAGCTTAAATTCTTATTTATGATTTTCTCGCAGTTTCTCCGGGCACCACTTATTTTCTGGCAATGTTTCATACTAGATAAAATCAAGTTTCAAACGTCGATTTCATAGAAGCTTTTTTTTTTTTTCTTAAAGACGAAACTTTTACATTTCTTTTTGGCCACGAAATCTTCTAGATAGAGTGAATTTCGAAAATCCTATTTCCTAGATGTGACATTTGTTTTTTGAATATTTTAAATTTTCAGAGTGTTTTCCCACTTTTATGCGTGAATTTTCAATCATTTTTCAGAAGAAAGAAAAATTTTTAGTTCATAGAATTGAATCTTTTTTTACTTTCCATTACGGGATTTCTTTCTTATTGAATTTTTTTTTCGAAAATATTTTTGCTATTTCTACCCTTTTCGTAAATATTTCTATGGATTTATCGTAAATATTAAATAAATATTTCAGGATTTTTCGTAAATATTTTGGTAAGCCCTGTTTATTTGCATTAAATAATAATTATCAAAATAATAAATTCACACGTGATTCTGATTTTTTTTCTCACTGATATTTTACAGGAAGTATGTTCGTAATGCGCTTCTGATTTAGTAAATATAACGAATTTGTTTGAGCTGCTGCACACACAAAAATAATTCAATGGTTTAGAACAGCATGCTTAGCCAGCCAAGAATCAAGCAAACACCGCCATATGGAGCTAAATGTGATGGAATATTCTCGACATTTTCGCCTTTTGACTTTTTGATTGCCTTGTAATAGCATGTGCCACTGAACAAAAGCATTCCCGAGATGAATAGTGTCCCAGTCTGAAATGGATTCATGCATTTTACCATCAACAAATATATTGGAAAGGGAATGAATCGATAGTGAATGAATATTGGCAAAAAGGAGTTTACAATTAGTGGTCGTTTGGTGAGAGGTGTAGCAAGCAGAGCGACTGAATGAATGAAGTGCATGTTATTGGCGCTCTCATAAATGTGGCGATACTCTTTGGTTTCAGCTGTTTCCTTCAGGCTATGCCGTCCATAGGCTGCCAAACATACGGCCGCAGCTCCACTCAAAGCAGCCACTCGAATCAAATGATAGTTCGAACCCAGCTGCTTTGAAATTGGAACCACATCTGACACCACTTTTGATGCAATCGATCGTGCATGTGATGGTTTTGTGTGCAAACCCTATGGGAAATGTTATCAAATTTAAAATTAGATTGCAATTAATTTTGAAAATAGAATTTGCGTCATTTATAGTTATACTCACCGATGCCTTAGCCAGCTGACTTATACCGGCTATCGTGAACTGAGACACTGGATTTTTATACGCAACATAATTAAGTGCATCGGTAAAAGAAACCATTTTAAAACGATATATTTGAAAATTTACTTTTGAAATCGATATATTTTTATTAAAAAATGTTTTTTTGTTGCAAGAAAACAGAAATAGATTGACTTCTTAATGAATACTTGAAAAATATCAAAACAACAAAAACAAACACAATGTCGCAAGTGTCAAAACTGTCACTGGTTCATTCGGATGAAGTATTGAATGCATCCATTTTTGAATTGGTGAATTGTGGGGAATAAAGCTTATGATTTCAAATGAATTTTCAACGGCCAGTTTTGAAACGATTTTATTATTTTGCTTCTTTTACTTTTATTTTTATTTTGTTTGTTTTTAATTTTTTTTCAATAAATTTTTATAAAATAAGCCAAATTTCAGTGTTGAAAAGTAAAATAGACATTAATCTCAAATCATTTATTAAATCCTTCATAAAATGCATGGAAAATACTTTTTACCAATTGAATTAAGCTGCTTCACTAGATAATTTAGCTTCTTGATCAATTTCGAACAGTGCCATAACCATAATTAGATTGATCGTATTCAGAAGGGGAATTGGATGATTTTCTCCGGCTATTTCCAGAGTGATTGCAATATGTGGCGATGCAAAATCATCATATTTTTCATTATCAATTTCACATTTTCCGTGCAAGTCGTCGGTGTTAATGTAGGAGGCCATAGTACCAGCTAAATTTCGTTTCATAGCAAACCTAATTCGTTGTACGATTGAACGCGTATTTTCAAACACAATAACATAACGCCAAAAGTCGATTCTGACGTCCTTCTTTTTTGCTAAAGCCAAATTGGCGGTAGAATCAAAGAATTTCGTCCACTCTTCACTTGATATTGTTTTACAGATTTCATTGTAGCCCAAATAACGTTTTTTCCTATAGGCAGTGTCGAGTTTGAGACCTCCGAAATTTAAACCAGCAACTATTTTCGATGGTGGTACACCCGATCCAATTAGTTTATCGATCACATGTTCAAATTGTGAACTAGCGTAATCTTTCAATGCTTCCGTAACTGTGTAATATTTTTGTTTAGGATCAATTCGATAGTCTGGTGTAAAATGTACCAAATCAAGTTGACCAGATAAAGCTGACAAATAATCGCCATTATTCAATGTTTCGTTGTCTGCATTGATTTTTCCGGAGAGTAATAGTCGGTTCCATTGCAAATGTTCCTTCAATTCCTTCACGAATTGCAAATGAAGATTTGGATCGAATCTAATGAAAAGTGGGAAATGTCTTATTACCAAACCAGTAGATAAACTTATTGAAAAAATTCGCTCTGCTAACATCACTTTTTGAATAAAGAACAAGAACAACTAACCTTTCTATTGGAATATCCCAACTCAAATCCAGTCCATCAAAACGATGTTTCAAAATGAGATCAATTCCATTTTTAACCAATTGTCTACGTTTCCAGTCATCAGATGCCACTTCAAATAAGTCAACTGGTAAAGTGTTTACACCAAAG